GATAGATAGATAGATAGATAGATAGATAGATAGATAGATAGATAGATAGATAGATAGATAGATAGATAGATAGATAGATAGATAGATATGACTGAGACGGTTGAAGGACTACAATGACGGCAGACACTCTTGAACAGGGACACCTGTAATCCTCAGAGGGTCATTATGGGACTGGACCGAGCCGGTACCACTCCACCCATCGGTTTACCAGCCGTGGAGAACTCCAACTCTTCAGCCACGTRCTCGCTCCCCTCGGCGTCCTGCAGCATCGACGAGTCCTACAAGTACGTCTTCCTGCCCGTCTGCTACTCCCTCACCTTCCTCTTCAGCCTGACCCTGAACTCGGTGGTCCTTCTTCGGTCGTGCCGGTCCAACGGCGGCGGGCGACGATGGAACACCTCCCTGATCTACATGGTGAACCTGGCCACCACTGACCTGATGTACGGCCTGTCCCTGCCCTTCCTGGTGGCCAGCTACGTCCTGAGGGACCGCTGGGTCTTCGGGGACTTCATGTGTCGTCTCGTTCGGTTCCTCTTCTACTTCAACCTGTACTGCTCCATCTTCTTCCTGACGTGCATCTCCGTGCACAGGTAAGCTGCTTGGTAAATGCTTTGTTGGTGAGAATAGCTGAGACATGTCCTGTTGGGACTCAATGTGGTTCAAATGCTCAACAAGACGGTCCACCAGAAACTGTTGAAGGATGATGGGATGATGTATATATACCCTCTAATCTGTGCATCATGAGCAGTGTTTTACCCAAAACTCCAGTTGTTCAGGGGTTTATTCTGTTTCAGCTCGWTGAGCATGTCCCAGTGTAGATTTCTTTCTGCAGACTGTAGCCAATAAGCTCTGACCACCGCAGGTCCCATAAAACTAAAGATCAAACTTTCAAGGATGTGTATTTGGGCTAATAAAGGCGGTACTTCCTGTACCTTTACTGATCAGAGGTTTAATCAGTTAAATGATTGGATTACATCAAGGCAAAACAAAAACATCAGTCCATTTGGTCATCATGTTCATCTAACTCATTGATCGTTAGACGGACAGATGATATCATTGTGAATTTAATCAAACCTTGACTTTGTGATAGAGAAACATGGTAGTCATCCAAACATAATATATTGAGACAAAGCTGCTGATTCACAGCTCTATTCCTGCTCTGCAGCTGTTTGCTACTCAGTAGAGACACCTGCAGTTTAAGAGGTGAACTGCACCAATCACCTGAAGAATGGGTACTATCAACAGATCCCAAAACAAAACGTGTTAGCAGGCTTCAGGTTGGCTAACCTACATCTGACAAATAAGGTCAATACAGCAAACATCTCATTTATCTGAATACTTCAGTCCATTTTATTCAAAGTGTGCCCCATGAAACCATTCTGTTTTAGTTTCCAGGTAATGAAGAACATATTTTACAGACAATATTTAGGAAAACTCAGGTCTATTAGGAGGTTCTMATGATCTGGTTTGGATCTCTCTCAAATATTCCTCACAAATGAGCCGGTTAAACCCCTGCCCCCCACACCTTATGTTCAAACAGTCCAGAACATGGGTTTTCTTGGTAGTGTTAATTTTTGATGGTCTTGACCTTCGACCTGCTCACAGGACAGTAGCTGGGACACAAACAGAGCGAACGGATGGAGTTTAGTATTAAAACCTGTGACCTGAGGACTGAGACCAACTGGTTGGGTTTTAAACCTCTGGTTTGTGTAGTTTTCTTCTTCGTGGTCGCTCTCATGGAGAACGTTAGGTTTGGTGGAAAGTTTGAGTTGTGATAACGAGGGGATCAGTCAGTGAATGTTTCCACTGCTTTGATCGGTTTAAACACTCGCTACAGTTTTAATATTTCTCTCAAGTATCAGGGTCAATGATTGCCTCAGGGGTCAGTTTGACCCAAGGCCAGCAGGAGGGTTTTAATCTTTAAAAGGGACCAACAGTTATTGATAGTTATCAGTTGAAGAAAGAGGCAAAAGTCTAGGCTAGGCTAAGCTAACAGCTAGCCAAAGAGMGGCAGTTTTTAATCAAAGCACTGGGTTATTCTTGAAGTGACCCCTGAAAGACGGGTTGGTGTTGGATCCTGATGCTGCTGGTCTGTCTGCAGGTACCTGGGGATCTGTCATCCCATGAGGACCATCACTCTGGAGAGCAAGCGGGTGGTGAAGTGGACCTGTGCCCTGGTGTGGGTCGTGGTCTTCGTGCTCACCTGTCCCATCTTCAGGTTCGCTCAGACAGGTTGCGTCATGAGAGGAGGCTTGGGGGCTGCGGGGTCCGAGGGGATGATGGTTTGTGGGAACCGGACCAGGGAACTGTACGGGGACTGGTACATGAACTGCTGGGATGACGCCATCGATAAGGAGTTCGCAGAGTATGTCCCGTACGGCATCGTCCTCCACGTGCTGGGCTTCTTTGTCCCCTTCGTCATCATCGCCTGGTGCTACTCTCACGTGGTTCGCACCATATTTCAGACCCTGCGGTCTCCGCCCAGTTCRGTTGAGGGCGGGGACGACGGTCCGGTCGGAGACGGAGCGGCAGAAGGWGGTCGGGACCGGGAGAGGACTTCAGTCTCCATCTCTGGATCCCAGTACTCGCACTACATCCGACGACGGCGAAAATCCATCAAGACCATCGTGACCATCACGCTGCTGTTCGCGCTCTGCTTCCTGCCCTTCCACGTGACCCGGACGCTCTTCCTGCTGCTGCGGCGAGGCCAGCTGGGCGGCTGCAACGCCATGAAGGCCGTCTCCATTTGCTACAAGGTGACCAGGCCGCTGGCGTCCTGCAACGCCTGGCTCAACGCCCTGCTGTACTTCCTGACCGGAGACAAGGGCGCCCCCTGCTGCTGGGCAGCGGAACGGACCGTCCACCGAGACCGGCGCAGCGGCTCCCTCTGGTGGCCGCTGACGATTCTGAGGAAGGACGGAGCGGGAGAGGACGACCAGGAGGCGGACGAGAAGGTGGAGAGGGAACTGAACATGGAGGACGAATCCAAGTCTTCACGGGTCGTCTTTTAGGTTCCTGTTCAACAGAACCTCTACAGAACCTCTACAGAACCTCATCAGTGGTGTTGAGTGTTTTCATCTAAACTGGATGAAAATTAAAAAAAGTTTTGACGCTGGCTGCATCAAACTGAACAAACTGGAAAACACCACACTTCGTGTAAAAACTGCTGAAAAATAAAAGATTAGTTTTTGTTCCATTTATCCAGGTCGACTCTGGTCCGCAGATTATTTCTTTTGTATTTTTTCATTGTAGTGTTTAAGTCTTTATGGATGTTAAATTAACATGTGATTAATCAACTACATTAAAAAATTTTAAATACTTGAAATGTTTACTTTAAATAAGTTGATAAAAAGCAAATCAAACTTTAARTTTTGACCTTATAAGAGAGATTTAAGACGTTGACTTTCTTATAAATAAATTAATACAAACAAGCTGTTTTATCTGTTTCTGATGTTTTGAACCAATCAGAGTTAAACGATGGCAGGAAGTGATCTGTGACCCAATCAGCTGATTCCTGTTTGAAGTATTTTAATGTTTTAGTTTGGATTAACGTCAGTTTTTGGCCTCAGCTCTGGTTGTTGCAGCTCATTAATCAGGTGTTTCCTGTTGACCTCTGACCCTGATTAAATACAGAAACTCAGCTGTTTCCTCCTCTGAGGAGCAACATTTCATTATTTAAATATTCACGTTTCTGAAAACTGAAATATATATAAAAACTACTTTGTTTTAGTCACTGACTGTATGTTTACTTTTGTCTCCTGAAATAAATTAAGTTTAAAGATTATTTTACTTTCTGAAGATTGTAACATTGTGTTTTTGTAATTCTTAGTTTATCATTAATCTAAATTATTTATAAATAATTAAAATGTATTCAATTTTTAAATGATTCACAGTAAATCAAACAACTGTTGGCTCATCAGATGGTTTATTAGGYCCTTGCCCAATTCAAATGAATAGACYAATGCAAARTCATTTGAARAGCAGCACACTTTATTAAWGCTAATTTGAGATAAGTTGAAGAYCATTAAGAAGTTATTCTTAATGTTTTGCCTGGTAAAATAAGGTTAAATAAAATAAATGAAAATAATTTGATATAAGGCTATAAATCAGCCATTTTTACACATACAAAGCTGAAAACTAGCATAGTAGCCAAAAACAAGGTCCAAAGGCTAATTTAAAATTCAAGATGGCCGCCACAGCCATATTTAAACTCCAGTAACTCGGCCATTTTAATACATYTTGGGCTGAAATTTGATGGAGTGGTAGCCAAGAGAAATCCAAAGACCTGAAAATAATCCTGCACCAAGAGGAAAGCCCTCATAGTTTGTCCAGGAATGTTCTGGTTCAGGGTTATTTAACTAAATCACTCCGGAGGCCACAGTTCCTGCAGGTCAGCAGCTGAGGAACATCCAGCAATTAAAGTCATTCTGTAAATAAACCAAGTATTACAAAGATCTGTTACCTTTGAAACACTTTATTTAGCTGTAATCATGAATACAACATACAGAACCCTATAAAAGTAGTGATAAACAACAAAAACAACAACACATTCTGCCTCATATTTAACACAAATAATATTTTAACAACTTTTTTAACCAATTTTATTTTCACTTTCATAGTTTTATTTTCAACTGCTTGTAGTTTTAACGGTCTTCAGTGTTCATAGAAATGGTTTTTACCATCTTGTAGCCACGATTCTGATGTTTCTGTAGAGACCAAACATATGTTTAACTAAAAGAAYGGGTTTGGGCTCAAGAGATGGATGAACCAATTGGCGGGCCATACMTTGGRCACTTGARYTGGCCCGTGGGCCGCCAGTTGAATAGCCCTAGATGGTCTCTTCCTGTTTGTGTAAAATGTGTTTTTTCTGCTGAATATTTAGTTTAAAATGGATAAAAACTTTCATGATGTCACCAAACTAAATGAAGAAAAATTAGGATAAAAATTAAGTTTTAAATGTTGAGAATCACCTCTACGACTTCTTTTAAAC